AACTTTATAAAGTTATTTTAACTTTAAACTGTTATAATATTAGCTTCAGTTCTGCTCAGATCACATTGAGCTAAATAAGATCAAATCTGCTGACTTGTGTTGTGAAATGAGATGCTTTCCTGTTTATCTTCTGTTAATAAATCCATAACACAAACAGCTTTTCTGGCATTAAAACATTAGATAGATTATATAAACTGTAAAATATTAATAATAATTGGGTTAATATTATTATTAATAGTTTTTATGATTTCTATATTGTCAGTTCTTTTTTCTCTGCTCTGTTATCAACATGTACAGCAATGGGAAATCCAGGCTCTTGCGTTAGCCGTTAGCTTCACCAGCCGATCACATGGTCACGTGGATTCTGCGCACTCCAGTCAGTGTTGGGGATGACTCTCAGCTACTACCACACCAAGTTTTAGCTCAACATTTGTAAAATTGACGGCGTCATCACAATTTTTGTGTTTCCCAAAGTCAATAAGCTGCGGTGGCCATCTTGAATCAGGTTGGCTCCAAAAGTAAATTAGACAAATGAACTGAGACGATGTCAGGTAAACACGACTGGCAGTCGTCACTCCAGTCAAAAAAATAATAATCCTTTTGACACAGATTTTGTTGCAYCGTTTTACCAAAAGCAGAATATAGTGGCCAACTGACGAGTTATTGTTTTTATAGGACAACGTCCAAATTAATTTTATTTTATTTTTTTATTAGAACCTTTGAGAGTGAGAATGTTAAGTTCTCCTCGACTGTCTGAACAAGCAAAATAAAACCAAGATGAGGCGCTTCACCTGTCTCATCTTCTTCCCCAACATGGAGGCGCTGGTGTCGATCACAAACACCACATTCTTGGGCACAGCAGGCAGCTCTTTGGGGGCAAAGTAGTGAACGAAATGTCCGTTTAGAACCTGGAAACAAGAGGCGCGCAGAAGACTTCAAATTGTAGAAACCCAGAAAGAGAGGCAGTCAAAGCTGGTGGCAAGAAGCCAGAGAAATAAAATAAACGTGCRTTTCTGTGCACAAAGTGTCTGCTTGTGACAGTTAGCTGACAGGAAGAGAAAACCCTCACCTGGATGTCTCCGATGCCCGTGTCTCTCTGGACGTCGTAGCGGATCACAAAGTCTCCCAGAATGCCGCTGGTGGAGATCCTGGCCTGCTGGACGATGTTGGGCCTGAAGGTGATCGTGCAGACGTTGTTTTCGCTCTTGATGGCGGTGGTGATGGGAACTTCGGGTTTGGCTGGGGCACAAAGACAGGAAGTGAGTCACGGTTTCTTTTTTCCTTTTTTTGGAATRAGAACAAATAAACCATGTGTCACCTTGAAGTAAATTTAAACCAGTGCCAGCCCCCCCCCCCCCCCAAAAAAAGGAAATGTGTCTTAGAGGTGGCATTTCCTCCTTCTCCTTTGAAGCATTTACTCATGAAAAAAAAAACCCTCTGTCTGTAGTAGAAACCAAAGTATTCCATATTAATGAACCTGTTAACTTTGGTTCCTTGGGCCGGGCCGCAGGGTTTGCACCGTTGCTTTTGCCGTTGCGTAGCGGCAGCACCTGGAGGTCCGTGATGGGCGAGTGGTCGACGATGGTGACGTCCAGGCTGAGGCGGCTGACCAGCTGCAGGGGTCTGAGGCTGGTGACGTGTTCGTAGCGTCCCAGCCGCCGCTGCAGAAGCTCTTCGTACGTCAGCAGAAAAATGCCCCGATTCCTACCGGGTATGCTCACTGCCATCTTGAACACCTCCGCCTCGGGCCCGGGGCTGGAGCGGAGAACAGGAAACACCTCACTGATGATGTCATACCCCATCATGACACTCCCACCTCTGCATGCACAGCCTCAGTCTCACTCCACATTTAAAACATTTATTATCTTGAACACAGTTTTTGAGTTGTTGTAGTTCTAGAAATTCAGATAGATTCCTTTTTTTAGTGGTTTTAAATTATTTGGTCTTCCTCCTTTTCTGATAACGCAGTGAGACTTTTCACTTCTTTTTAGCAGCTCAGCTGGAAACGATATGATGTCACTTCTTCCACTGTCATTTCTTGGGTTACAGGTTTTATTGACAGCCGACTGAAAGACTGAAAATTCTGTCCRCTACATTTATGTGATGTATTTTATGTGATTTTTAAAACGGCTTTTGACCCCATAAGCAGCAGTGGGTCCTCACAAGGCTGTGTGTACTGGGTAAATGGTTATAAATCGTCCCCACCAGGTAACAAAAACATGTACACACACAGATCAGGATTTTCATACCTCGTGTCGCTTGACTCTTTGCTCTTAGGTTTGCCGTTCCCTTCTTTGACCCTCTTTTCCTTCGGTCTGACTTCACTCTGGTAGACACGCCCTCCAATGATCCTGGTTCAAGGGGGGGAGGGGTCAAAGGTCACGCTTTAGAGTGTCACACAAATTCAGGCGTGCCATTGTCATGGCTCAAATAGACAAAGGCCTCACAACATGCTGTCAATACTTATTTACACATCGTGAACATGAACGACTGGATCGGTTTGTTTACAGAGTTATAAAACTCATTCCTCTCTTAGTGCTTCAACCTCCATAAAAACTGCCGCTTCATAAAGTTAGGGACAGAAAAGATGCAAATTACAACAACAGTTAGACTGTTATCTTCTACATTAGTTCAGATGAACTTCATGTTATGCAGCTTACAAAGTTCAAATGGGAAAGTTAAACTTTTATACCAGAACTGGTGTTCGTCGTTTTTACCCATTCAGATTTGATGATTTTTGAAGAATTTTCACTGACAAATCTTCAAAAACGGTCTTCAAAAGATTTGCAAATGTACTCATATTAATTTTCCTTTCACATTTTGATTAATACAAATTACACACCACATTGCATTGTTTTGTCTTCTCTCTCTGTGCCCCTCACAGTTATCTGGTCCTTTTATGATCTGATATTGATCAAAGGCCCACAATGTGTGATTGAAGTTGAAAAGACCTGGGTGCTTCTTACATTGTGAAGTTAGAGATGTAGGCTCCAGCGGGGATTTGGAACTGGAAGAGTCCTTCAGCGGCAACAGAGTGCCGGTTGAGCATGTCGCAGTACACCGCAGTGAACGCGTAGCGGGAGATGATGGTGGTTTTGATGGACAGCTCCTGGATGTGAGGTTTGGCTTCCTGCGAACGAGAATAAAATAAGTGAGAACCCCCACATTGCAGACTCACCCTCATTTAATCTGCTTCTGATAAAGAGACGTTCCTGCCGTGCGTAAAGAGACGTTCCTGCTGTRCGTAAAGAGTCGGTTCCTGCCGTGCGTAAAGAGACGTTCCTGCTGTGCGTAAAGAGTCGGTTCCTGCCGTGCGTAAAGAGACGTTCCTGCTGTGCGTAAAGAGTCGGTTCCTGCTGTGCGTAAAGACGCGCTGCTGATGCTGCGCGAGTTGTTTTCGTCTTTCATCTCGACAAGTCAGTGCCAGCTGCACTTTCACACAATGACTCAACAGGCTGAGGGGTTTGTTGAGCTCAGATTATTTCAACATTACAGGAACTCTGGCACATCCGCGCACTTGGCGGGTCTCCTGCGTCACGCCCAAAGTGCACAAGTTTGATTCCAAATTCATTTTAAACTGATTTAAACTAGGTCATCTAATCTAGACCCGAACGTCTAGTTCATTTTCACTTATTTTCCTTCTTTTATTAAAGTGATTTCTAAGCATCAGATAGCAACAAAAACTATGTTTAATCCAACTTTTGTACCAGTTATATACTTTACATTGTTTATGAGGGAAAAAAAGAACAAAAAAACAGCAAAAATCTAAACAGTTTTCCGCATCTAAACTTCATTTTTTAAAATTTACCTTGATAAGAATCTGTTTCACCTGCCGAGGGACCCTGCGTGGTGCCTGCAAAGATAAACAAGGTCAGTATAAAAACAAATGCAAAGACATTACGTGCGCAAAGCGGCGGTGCAAATCTTACAAAGTCTAAATCGAAGTCTGCCAAATCGGCATCATCAACATCCTCCTCCTCCAATTGGGATTCCTCCAGTTGCCCCAGAACAGCCGGACAGAAGCAGAACAGCAGAGTCACCAGCAGCATCCTGATCCTGCGTTTTGTCTCCATTAAAAACTAATTAATGAGATAAATGAGACCTCATCATCATCATCATCATTGTTAATCCTGCTGTCTGAGTCCGAGTCCAGATCAGACTGAGCCGACACTGAGCAGAGGAGGGAGAGAGTCCGCCCAGCCCACCCACTGGAGCAAAGAGATGAGKGAATCTCTATCTGCTGCCTTCAGGGACTGTTGGACAAAAGAAAACCACGACGTTAAACCCCGATTTTTTTTTAATAAAGTTATTTTTCTCCATTATGGCAGATAACAAACAGACAAAGTGAAGTTGATGTCCCCAAAATTGAGACTCCATTTAAGTTTGGGTCATTTCTACATTTTTTTCCAAGAGAAACCTGAACATTGCAGGTTTATTGCTTTATAAACTAGAAGATATTGATGGGTTCGAATTTGGGACTAATTTTATTTAAAACAAATGTGTGCACAAGATGACAGATGTCTTTAAAATGACCAGAAATGCTTGTGCAACAAACAAACAAACAAACAAACAAAGAAACAAAGAAACAAAGAAACAAAGAAACAAAGAAACAAAG